CACAAGTTTTCACATTTTTTTGAAAAATTTTGAAATGGCAACTTTTTCCACATTGAAACCATATGTTTCAGGTTCCTACCGTAATCCTACAGTAATGAAGAGCGTTCGGTGATTCTCTCCATACAGTAACTCTAAGTTGAAGCCAGCTCTACAAAATGGTACCTAAAGCAAGGCGAAAGACTTTTTGGGAAGAGAGATATTAACGATTAAACAGTGCATACATACTTTTGGGACACCCTGTATATTGTTTTGTTTGTGTTTTATTGTTTGCTTCGATAAACCCTTTTATGTAGAACCATCATCCCACAATGGAAGAGGTCGGCCAGACAAGTGAACAAGTCAGTTTCCCCATCAGTATAACATTCCCTTGACTACAGAAGCTTATTCGGTCGAGCTCACTAAACATATCAGTCAACAATGATTACATATACAGTCAACAATGATCGGGTATAAATACTGATGGGTGAGTTAGATCAGATAAGTCTTCTACAAGTTCTTCCTACAAGTTGAGGGAGGGGGGTGGTAATCTGAGGACCACAAGTTCTTCCTAAGAAGCATCATCGACACAAGTTCGGTAGGGCTCTACTCTCATTAGTGTGTCGACTAACAGCTGTATTTTGTATTAATAAAGATTTTGGATACCTTGAGGTAGCATACAGTTCGACTAGACCCGCGTGGCAACATAGACTTATCGAGCTCTATATATTTTCTACAGTTTCAGAATTCTCTGAAATTATTTTAAGAGTCTCAGGTTTTGTAGAAATCGCGTGACACATAGTTGCATCAAACCTGCGAAATCCTCAAAGCATTGAAGTTCAAAAACTCGATTACTACCATCACTAATTCCTCAAGGTAAATGGGAAATTATCTCAAAGAAGTGAGTATATTTTATTTCGGATGCAATACTAGAAATAGTGCACTTGTAGAATTGAGAAATACGGCATTTTGTCCGCAAAAGCCGCATGTTTCACAAAAAAAGATAATCAGAGAGAAAAGAAAAGTTGCACCAAATGTTATTGATGTGTTTACCATTTGATGTTTTACGAGGTTGAAACGAGCCAGACCTCCCGTATCTCCTGTATCCCGTACTAAGTAACCTTCACTCTGAGCGATATAAGAAGACACAACCCTTACTGAAAATAAACCAAAGCCATCCATGGGCGAAGAGAATATGAAGCTCAAACTAAATCGGAATTATTACGAAAGAAGAAAATGTGGTGGCTAACCCCCAAAAGTTCCTAAAAGGCGAAAAGGTCCTTGTGCAAACTCTCTAGAAATAAGGACAACATTTGATGTAGTAAATGTTTTCGCCAAGCCCAGATAGTACGGTGAATCTTTATTTGACCTAACGTTTCGACAAGGTCGTCTTCTTCGGAGGTCTGAAAGATGATTGCAGTCTTGATCTATGAAACTACGCCGCCAAACGCCATCTCCGTACTTATCGAGTCTAGACCTCGTCTCATGCACAACGTACAGAGAGGCATATTGGCAGAGGAGACCGACCGTTGATTCACCGTGGTAAGGATGTTAGTAGTCCGCAGGAAGTAGCGGACGATAGCCGCAGATGTTGAAGACGGGCGACACTGAGTGTTACTTGGTGTGTCACGTCTATATATACGGCAGGCTACTGTTCACATAGTGATAGAAAGGGCAAAAGATCACTTGTCATTGATAGGCATTCATTTTTGTTGTTCATGCTTGGGCTCTTTATAGAGATCCACAAAGCTTCTAGTATCTTTCGTGCAGAAATTTCTGTCTCGTACGCCAAGATAAAACATTTGACCTCAAAATCAGTTCCGCCATGTGCTTCAACTCTGTGTTTTCCCAACGGCGATACTAAATTCCCTCGTCTTTTGTTCGCTAAGTGCTCTTTGACTCTGATGTTCAATGCTCTGCCCGTCTCACCTATATAGAAAGCCTTGCAACTCAAACATTCTAGTTGGTATATGACCCCTGACTTTGCGCAATCTCCTACCTTTCCATACGGGCAAACAATGCATTGCTCTGATAAGCATTCTGTATCGTATATCCTGTTTCGCAACAACTGCCTCCTGATGTTATCGTTCGGGATGTTTACCAGTACAACCTCATTCTGCAGTTGTGCTCGCGCAATGCATTGTTTCAAAGCTGCACTCATTTCATCGGAGATGAAAGGTATGCAAAGTGGGGCTCTCTTGTCGGTACGTGCAGTTCGACTATATAAACCAGATCGTGGACGTCTAGCGTTATTCGGATCTGTGTAGCCGTTGCTGCGCGCAATCGTTGTAGCCAATCTAGTAGATGCAAGTCGTTCTTCTACGCCAGTGCTAACTTCTACAGCTGTTCTGTACATGTTCTTAATAATTGCACGTTTCGTCGCTGTAGGGTGCGCTGATTTTGCATGTATTGTGATATTCTTTGAGCTTACTTTCCTGTACCACTTCATCCGAATTCTACCACCAGATAAGTTTATCTGGGTGTTCAGGAAAGGAAGCAACCCATCCGTCGGGGTTTCTCTGGTAAACCTAATGTACTGTGATTGCTGGTTCAAAAGTGCGAAACATTCGTCCATTTCGGACTGAGTCGATGTTATCACACAGCAATCATCGATGTAGCGACAATACATTATGAGCAAGCGTGCGAGTACTGGCTCCTCGATCTTACTCATAAAGCAAATCGCAAGGGCTGGAGCCAGTCGTTGACCCATAGCCAGCCCCCTGATCTGAGAATAGTAATTCCCAGACCACTTAAAGATGTTACTCTTTAGACATTCCTTGATGAGGGTCAGTATGCTCGCTTTGCTGAGTCCAAAGGTGACCATATCATTGTAGTGGAGTTCCAACATCTCTGACATTGCTTGAAGTGCGGCATCGTTCTGAACGTTAGTGTACAAGGATGTTACGTCAAAAGACTCGATGACACTATCGTGTTCGATGTTCGTATCCCGCAACTTTTGCATGAACTGTCGAGTATTGGATAGATGCGATGGTACCTTTGGTAATAGTTGGTTTATGATCTTATTGAGAAACCATGATATTCTGTCGGTGGGGCCGCTAACACAACCTATTATAGGGCGTACCTTATAGGCTGCTGGTGACATAGAGTTATTTTCGTGAGCAGCTATTTTATGAGTCTTAACCAGATGGTAAAAATACTGGACAGATCGGATTGTCTATTTTTAACCTGCTAACTAATCTTTCATCAAGGCCTGCAGCCCTAGCTACAGAAACCCAAACTTCATTCAACCTTTTACATTGCATCTGGAAGTCTCGCTTCGTCACTTGCTTGTAGATTGTCGCGTCGGAGAGATGCAATTCTGCAATCTCTCGCTCTAAAGACTGCGGCATTACTACAAATTCGCCACCCTTGTCACTAACTGAGATACGGATGGATTGTTGTTTGAGCAAATCGCGCACATCTTTGAAGCCCTGCCGTTGTTCCCACGTCAAATTAGTTTGACGTTTGCGTTTGAAATCATTCAAAACTTTAAAAACTTCAGTCGAAAGTACGCGAAACTTCGTGTCTGCAGAAAGCACTGGTTTTGGTTCTCTGTAGAAAGATCGAGGGAAAGGTATCGATGTTAACAAGGGATTGGCCGTTGGGATGAGAAGGGAGCTTTCCTGCGTAGCTCTTATTCTCAAAGTGTCTCGCAGTCTGTGTAAGCTGCCCACTACTTTGCGACAAACAGAAGCTGTGATGTTTTGCGCAAACGAGAACGATGGTCCGAGACTAAGAATTTCTACAGCGTGTGACGTAAGATGAATGCTACCAATGACAGTACTTGCACTCACGGAATCATTCGTAGCTAAATTTTCCTGCGGTTGGTGGATTTCGGGAAGGCTATTCTGTTCGCAGTGTCTCTCACGCAGTGTTCCTGAAAGTCGGTCGTACTTCGCAATAAGCCTAGATCTGACCTTAGACCGAGTAGAGTCACAGATCAGCTTCGATCGTCTCTCAATCCTCCTCCACAGATCTTCGGGTAAGAAACTCCTCCTCCACAAATCTTCGTCCCTTCTCATCCCAACGGCCAATCCCTTGTTAACATCGATACCTTTCCCTCGATCTTTCTACAGAGAACCAAAACCAGTGCTTTCTGCAGACACGAAGTTTCGCGTACTTTCGACTGAAGTTTTTAAAGTTTTGAATGATTTCAAACGCAAACGTCAAACTAATTTGACGTGGGAACAACGGCAGGGCTTCAAAGATGTGCGCGATTTGCTCAAACAACAATCCATCCGTATCTCAGCTAGTGACAAGGGTGGCGAATTTGTAGTAATGCCGCAGTCTTTAGACCGAGAGATTGCAGAATTGCATCTCTCCGACGCGACAATCTACAAGCAAGTGACGAAGCGAGACTTCCAGATGCAATGTAAAAGGTTGAATGAAGTTTGGGTTTCTGTAGCTAGGGCTGCAGGCCTTGATGAAAGATTAGTTAGCAGGTTAAAAATGGACAATCCGATCTGTCCAGTATTTTAGTACTCTGCGTTGATACCACTGCTT